CCTTCACCTTAGCGAGAACTGTCCCCCTAACCCAAAACTGTCCCCTTCACCTCATCTAAATCTGCCCTCATCACCTCTGCGAAAACCATCCCCCTAACACAAAGCTGTCTCTTTTCTCCTCATGTGGAACCACCACCTTCATCTCATCCAAAACTGTCCCCCTAACCCACAACTGTCCACTTCAGCCAAAACTGTCCCCTTCACCTCAGCTAAAACTGTCCCCTTCAGAGTCAAAACTGCCCCCCAACCCAAAACTGTCCCCCTAACCCAAAACTGTCCCCCTAACCCAAAACTGCACCCTTCACCTCATCTAAAACTGCCCCTTCATCTAAGTGAAAATTCCAGGGCAGGAGGCTGTGCCTCAGCTCCATGAGAAGGAGCTCCTGAGGACGATAAGGCCACAGTGAAAGTTTCATCTTCCATGCTGAGGAGGGGATTTGCCCTTCTGCTGAAAGACCGAAGCTTTCCTTAAGCTGGAAGAGGAGTCAATACGGTCATGAATTAATCGTCAGGAAAGTCATAGGGCAGTTTTGTAGATACCGACAAGTGACTGGAATTAGGGTCTAAGAGGGGAAGTCCTACGAGGAGCATCTGAGGGCACTTGTTCAGCCTGGGGAGGAGACTGAGGGCACAGCTCATTGTGGGCTGCAGCTTCTCATGAGTGGCACTGGAGGGGCAGCACCGACCTCTGCTCTCTGTGACCACTGAAAGGACCCGAGGGAACATCTGGAGCTATTCCAGGAGAGGTTTAGGTTTTAGAATATTGGGAAAAGTTTCTTCATCCAAAGGGTGGTCGGGCACTGAACAGGTTCCCCATGGAAGTCACAGCACCAACCCTGACAGAGCTCAAGAAGCATTTGGACAACGCTCTGAGGCATGTGGTGGGATTCTTGGGGTTGTCCTGTGCAGGGCCTGGAGTTAGATTTGATTATCCTTGTGGGTCCCTTCCAGCTCAGGAGGTTCTGTCGTTCTACAATTCTGTGATTTGAGATGGTGTTTGCCTGGTGGTTTCAAAAGACCTTGGGCTTGCCAAGCTCATAGTTGGGTGGGAGAAACTGCTCCAATTAGCTTCAGCACTGCAGGAATGGTGGATGTGCTGCCAGTGTTTAGTAGTGAGCTTCTGGGGAAGTCAACAAGGTTGACTTCCATCAGAAGTTAGACACCACGGTGTTTCCTGTCCACAAATTTTCCCCAAAAGGTGGAAAGAGCCACGGCATCCATGGTGAGATGCATGAATTTATGTGAGAATGCACCAGGGCCTGCCTGTCTTTCATTTCCTGCAGTTCCCTGGGTTGCTGAATCTTTTGAGTTTAACATACTTTCTCATCTCCAGCAGTGCTGTAGCAGACCTGGAGCTGATTGACAGGCAAGCTAAGGAGGGGAGAATTCTATGAGCTCATGCTGCATCCTCTTGGTATTTTCCTACCATAAACCCATGTGAAATGGAGCAAGAGTAATGGGTTAAAATATTAATAGTTCAAAAATCAAATGCATTGGAAGGAAGCTGCTTTTCTCTCTTTTTACTCCTCTATCAATCCCTGGAGGACAAGAAGGCCAGGAATGCAGAGAGAAATCTAAAATGTAAAGAAACCTCAAAACAGACCCGTGCTGGTAGGACCAAAGAATTGTAAGGCTGTTACAGTTGAAATGGACATTAAAAACCTTGCATCAAACTTGTGCCTCTTGAGATGTCACTGCAGGTTGGGGTAAAAGCTGTTCAACAGCCTCAGCTTTACCACAACCTGCTTAGCAAGTGACAAACCCATCAGAAAAAACATTAGCATACATTAGCATCTGTAAGCTGCCCTTAAACCCTGGTCTGAATAATGCTGTGATGACTTGTTGAGCTGCACTTGGAGGGTCTGCCAGGCCTATGAGTGGGGAGCTGAGCTGAGAGTGAGATCAGGCCCTGACCCGGCTTTACAGGTTTCTCCTGCCTAAATCTAATCTCTCCCAGTCCTTGCAAAGCAGCAGAGCACCCTGGGCTGCGTTTTGAGCACCGATACTCCTTTCAGGGCTGTTGACAACCCAGAACAAGTTTCCTTCTGAGGATCATGACACCTGGATGAGTCCATTAGCTCCTTCCAGCAGGGCCAGGGCAGCTTACCTGGAGGCCAGAGGGCGCAAGCTGTGTGGAGTCAACGATGCAGCTCTGTGTGAAGGAGAAAAAAATCACAAAGCAATGGCAAAAAGTGGCCATTAATTATGACAGGGTGTAGCCCACAACCGTGAGCTCTGGGGCCTTCCTTACATGAGAAATTTGAATCATCGAAACAGAATATCCTGTGTTTGAAGGAACCCACAAGGACCTTTGAGTC